TAATAATAATAATAATAATAATAATAATAATAATAATAATAATAATAGAATGAAGCATCTGTGAATCAGAGTTTTAGAATCAGCCTTTGCTTTGTTAGTTATTTAGATAATGTTTCCTTAACTCCACTGCTTCAAACAATTAACAGTAAGCAGTAAGCAGCTCAGGTACTTAGCGCATAGCATAGTAAAGAAAATATGTGTGTGGGTCAGCTCACTATATGAAGGAAGCATTACTAGAATTAGGTCCTTGACTTAAAATATCCACTTACTATGAAATAGGCAATGGCTTACAATGTAGGCCTACTGATATATTTATCTGCATTATAACCAAGGGAACAGAGAAGACAACAGACACTTAATACAGAAAACAATTAACAGTAAGAAACTCAGGCACTTAGCACGTAAAAAAGAAAATGAATTATGTATGTGGGTAAAGTCACTATACGAAGGAAGCATTACTAGAATTAGGTCCTTGACTTAAAATATCCACTTACAATGAAATAGAAAAGGGATTACAATTTAGGCTTATTGATACATTTATTTGAATTACAACCAAGGGAACAAGGAAGGTAACAGACACAATACAGAAAAAATAGATGATGTTTGTCCTGCAAACCTCAGTCAGAAGGACCATTGTTTGGACCATTGACTGCTTGGTGATGATATTCATGAGTATACACAATTCCTTTATGTCAAAGAAACTTTCGGCTAAATTAATCTTTGTATGGCAGAGAAGTATTTATTAGATTAACTCAGCATTAGCTGTGTCACATGCTTCATTCCCTGCTAACTGAAAGAGCAGTATTGTTTTGGCACATTTTGGCCAATATGCCACAATAGCAACCAAAGCCAGGTTTTTATCCCCAAATGCAATCATATTATTCTATGCATGCTAGAATCACTAATCTAGTGACAACCTTACAAGCCAATAGACAATTGGCTATGTCCTATCACTTTAAAGGTACATGCAATGTGTGACACACAGGCAAGATGCTACATGGAAATAGGATTTGGATGAACCAGAAGAAACTTAAAGTGAATTTGGATGCAGTTTGGGTGTGTGTGTGTGGAAATACAAGTGTAGTCTTTGCATACTTATCACAATTGGGACCAGAATACTGTTGCTAAATGGTGCAGTTGTTAAGTGACCACACCAGGTGATCACACCAACTTATGCCATCAATTCTGACTTGCGTCATCAGTTCTGTCTGTGGTTGTTAACTGAATTGCCTGCAGTCATTAAGTATGACATCTTATCACCATGATTTTATGACTTCCTGCTAGCTTTCCCATTGTTTTTGTTTGCCAGAAGCTGTCTGGGAAAATCGCAAATGCTGATCATGTGACCACAGGATATTGTGACCAATGTAAAGGTGTGCCAAGCAATGAAATCATGATCACATGACTGGAGAAACACTGCAACAGCTACAACTTTGAGGAACAGCCATAAGTTGTTTTTCAATACCATTATAACTTTGAAATGTTAGTGAATGAATAGTCAGTAAACAAGGACTACATCTATATACTAGAGTTTTTATGTAAAAACAAGGAAGAGATTGGGTCAAGAATGATGCTGAATGAATGAATGGAGAGTGAACATGAAAGATGAGCAATATAAAACAAGTTGAGCAGATGGTTTGGCCACATATAGAAAATGAATGAGGACTGAATTGTATTTTAAAAAGTATAAGAGTGACTTCAAGTTTTTTGATCTAATATTTCTAACTCTTTTTCTACACTTTGCATAATGTTGCTTACCCCAGAAAGGGAAGCTCTGTCATATGTCACAATTAGATTTTAGAGTGGTCCTCTGTGTTGGGGTGGGGATAGGAAACCATTCAAAGAAAATGAAAGCATCACGAAGGAAAAAAGATCCATTTATGCCTCACAATCTGTGGAGCATATTTTTCATATTTTCATCGTCTCCTTTCTGACCTTCAGGGAGAACAGCTCATGGATGATAGGGAAGGGGAGATGCGGAGATCTGTGACAGCGTAAGTAACTTTGAGCAAGTGATGGCAGATGTTGGAGTGGGACTAAGAAGGTTGAGCTCAGAGGGGTTGATGGGATATGTTATATCAATTAATGCTGAATGGAGGAAGGAAGAGAGGAGACATGATGCACCTTTTCATCTGGCCCTTTCATCCACTGCTCATGTTCCTGACATTTTCTCTACTCTTCGCCTCCCATCACTGAACTCCTTTTGAAAGATAGATCTCTGTTTTGACAAATGTACACTTCAAAGAACTCTCTTTTGTACTGTGCCCAGACTAAGTATGAATGTTTCAGTTAGGGCCTGGATTGCATGGAAAAAGCTATTCTGTAAATACAACATATCATGCAAGGAACATTTGTACATCTCCTTAAAATATTATGTAACAGCTTGCCTTTAGTGTAGCTTATATTATTGTGGTTCAGAACAAGTGGGTTAACAAGAAAGTTGTGTAGTCATAAAAGCAAAACTATACCTGCAGGTCTCCAGGGAAAAGACTTCTCAGTAGAACTATAGAAAAGGAAACAAAGAAACCAAATTTAATTCTTTTCAGGCATTCACTTTCTTTAATGTGATAAATAGAGAGAGTTCAGTGTGATCAGTACCCACACTTGTAAAAAATTTTCATGAGGGAAGAACAGTTCTACACATTTCCTTTCACCCACTATCCTTATGCACAATTTTAAGCACAGGAGGACAGTTCAAGGAAAGAAAGTGTTTTCTTCCCACATCTGCATTCAGGTTGTCTTTTTAGCTATCTAAAGTTATAAGAGATCCTTATTTAACCCGTGAGAACTGGCTTGGAATGCCATATCCCAAACTGACCATTGCACTGCCAACAAAAAGCGATGATAAACATGGGTCTGTTGAATCCCATAGGCTATTTAACAGATAATCAGAGTTGGAAGGGACCTTGTAGGTCATCTTGTCCAACCCCCCCCCCCCCCCCCCCC